GGTGGCAGAGCTGGCCGGCTGTCTGCGTGCTGGTGGCAGCCCTGGCGGGCTCTGTCCGGGAGGGAGAGGCTTTCTCAGCAGAGATCACCCACGCAGCATCCCCAGAATTGGGCACATGTGCCGGGACACGGAGACCGGGATGGGGCGAGCGAGGAGGGATCTTTGGGGCGCCCAGCGAGCGAGGGGTCTTCAACTGCTCCCGTCGATGTTGCATCCCAGGCAGGGTCTGCCTTAAATCCCTCCCTCCTCCCTCCCTCCCTCCCTGGCGAGGAACTTCTCCCGCTGAACTGGAGGATGCTGCAAGCTCCTGCGGACGAGCCGGAGGAGTCCTGTGGCAAAGTCAAGGCGAGCAGGGAAGCAGCGTGCTGCCCGGGTGTCACCGCAGCTCGCTGCCGCCAGCCCAGCCTGCCGCGGCCGGTGTCACCTCCAGGAGCGTGAGTGGCCTTGCGGGCGGGAGGTGCGGGGTCTGCGGGGGCAGCGGGGCTTTCCCCCCGCCAAGGTTTAACCTTCAGCGAGCCCCGCTGCTGCCGAGCCCGCCGGGGCCGGGGATGCTCCTGCTGCGGGGCGGCGGCAGCGGGCGGGGAGGGGACAGCCTGGGGAGGGGGACACCGCAGCCCCCCCTGCCTGGGGCCAGCCCGGGTGGAGGAGGAGGAGAGGGGGGTGGCAGCGAGTCTCTGTGTGGCTGGAGGGACAATGGGCCCCCCCGGCAGGTCCCGGCTGCAGAGGGGTCCTGGGTGGTGGATGCTCGGGCTCCGCGGGCAGCACCGACCCTTCTGCCTGCGGGTGTCCCCCTGCACCGGGGACGGTCACCCCCTCCCCAGGGAGCCGAGGCGCCCTCCGCCACGCGAGGTGCCTGTGGGACAGGGTGGGAAACCAACTTCTGGGCACCTCGGCATCGCATTTGGAACTCGCACGGAGGGAAGGGTGACCACCACGGCCGGGTGCACCAGAGGCAGGCGCCCACCGCCCCGACACGGGCGAAGGGACGGCAGGACGGGAGCCGGGGCGTTCCCCCAGGCCCCTGTGCCAGCGCTCCCCTTGCACACACTTCCCTCCTGCTTGCTGGGCCTCTTGGTGTTTTATAAATCACTCAGCAGCTGCTGCAGTGGGTTTGCCGGGGATGGATGAGCCGGGGGAAGCCGGCTGGGGGGGCAGCGCTGGATGGGAAAACTTGGAAAGGTCCCTGCGGGGCAGCGGCTGCAGAGCTCGGCCAGGGACGCGGCGCTGGCGGAGCCGGGGGAAAAAAAAAAAAAAAAAAAAAAATTAGACTCTTCCTTTTATAGCCAAGCTGGGGTTGTTGGGTGCCTGCGGCCCCGGCAGCATCCCCTGCAAAGCCGTCCGGTGCCCACAAAGCGCCCTGCCCGGGCAGGAGCTGCTCCTGCCGGAGAACGCGGGGCTGCCCCGGCCGGGGACTCCCAGCCGGTCTGCGGACGTGGAGAATTCGTGCAAGAGGGGCTCCTCCACACCACAGCTCCCCGGTGGGTTTCAGCTCGGGGTCTCCAGCTGCAGAATGCAGCGCTGGGGCTGCGGAGGGCTCAGGGATGCCTTCGGTGGTGGGGGGCACGCCCAGGGCTGCAGAGGGGCTGGGGGTGATGACAGGGAATGAAAGGCACAGAGAGGGCAGTGGGGTTGGACAGGACAGGGGCAAGGAGGGGTGGTGGGAACAGGCAGGAGGGGCCCGGGCTGAGCTGGGGGACACGAGGTGCCCTGGATGCAGGAGCATCCTGTGCAGATGGGTGCAGCCCTCCAAGGTCACTGGGAAAGCCCGGCCGAGGGCTGTGGGAGCCGTGCCACGGGCTGGGGCTGTGTGGGCCACTCGGGCTGGGGTAGCTCTAATATCCAGCACTGAGAGACTGCCCAAGGTCAGCCGAGGTGACTGGAGACGAACTCAGCTGTGATGTGAGAGCCCTGACTTTGTGTTTTCAGGGTGGGTGCAGCCCTGAGCTTTTGGCTCCCGCTGAAGCCTGACAGTCCTGGCAGTCCCTGGCACCCCGGCACTGCTCCAGCACATCCTCAGGGCAGCATGGCACTGCACTGCGGGGCCGGCAGGGCCCCAGGGCTGCAGTGGGTGCAGCTCTGCAGCCTCGGGCTCAGGACACCCACTCTGATTTGGGCTGGGACAGGGGAGCTGCTCCTGCCAGGCACGCTGTGCCCCAGTGCTCCTGCCGGGCTGGGGACTTGTCTTGGCTCCTGGGAGCCGTGTCTGGGCTCCTCAGGGTCATGGGGGAGCTCCTGGGGTGCTGCCAGAGCATCCTGGGGGGAGCGTGGCTGTGGTGGCAGCCACAGTGACGGCCCACGGCAATGGTTGGTGTCTTGGGGGTGGCACTGAACAGTGACTTTGCTGCCTGTGGGTGCTGTGAGCAGGGCCAGCGATGTGAGGCTGTACTTGGCAGCCAGGGGCTCCTTGCAGGGAGCTGTGGCACGTGTGGCCACGGCTCCCGGTGCTGAGTCACGGCCACGCCGTGTCCGGCCAACCCCTCATGGCCACAGCTGGACCCCCATGCACCCCTCACTCCTGTCCTGAGAGGAGGCAGCCCTGGGAACTCAGGAACACTCCCTGCACCTTCCATTGTCTCTTTCCAGCTGCAGATTTCGGGCTGCAAAAGTCACCAAAGTCAATGTGCCTCCCCTCTGTCACCCTCCCATGGCCAAGCTGTGCTGGGGGTGAGGAGTCCCCCACAGCCCCCCTCAGATTTTCAAGCCTCTGAGCTCTCAGCTGAATTCCTCCTCCCATGGGCAAAGGCAACTCCAGCCTTCCCAGTCCAGAGCTGCTGGGTGGGGAGGGTGTGGGAAGTGCCTGGGGTCCTGTGTCCTTCTCCTGGCCCTGCCAAAGAGATGGACAGAGGCATGGGGGTGTGGGAAGTGAGTGCCCCCCTACACTGGCTTCATGGGCACCAGCCTGAACCCCTGCTCTGGCACACGGACAGGTATGGGGATGTGGAGTTTGGGGGTCGTGGGGGATGCAGGGGACAGAGTTGTTGCATCCTGACCCAGTGCAGCAGCAGGGGAACCCCTGCCAAGCCAAGAGCCAGGGCTGAAGGGGATTCCCCCGTGGAAGTGGCTCCAAGCACAGGCACCCACCTCTGCCCCCTGTCCGTGCTGGCCCGTGTGGGCTCACAGGACATGGCCCTTGGCTTTGCCATCATCTGCTCGGATGTGCAGCTCCACAGGTGCCCCCACTCAACCACTGAGCCTCAGCTGCATCCCCTCACCCTCAAAGGGCAGCCAAAACCCCCCAAAACAGCAGCCTGAGAACTCTGCAGCCACCGAGGGCCTCTGGGCTGAGGCACACATGGGTTGGCCGCGGCCCCAGACACGAGGAGCTGCGGGGTGCCTGCAGGCACAGGGACCATATGGACAGTGCCTCTGCCTGGGCTGCACCGGAGAGAGGCCGATGGCACTGGGGGTGGGCAGGAGGTGCACCCCAGAGCCCCTGCCGGGGTTTCACCATGGCCACGGGCTCCTTCCAGGATCTCCCTGGAGCTGGAGGACACGTCCAGCAGAGGGACAGCCCCGTGCCCTGTGCCCCCAGTCCAGCAGAGGGACAGCCCCGTGCCCTGTGCCCCCAGTCCAGCAGAGGGACAGCCCCGTGCCCTGTGCCCCCAGTCCAGCAGAGGGACAGCCCCGTGCCCTGTGCCCCAGCCCCGCGGCACCCGCCTCTCCCTCCCAACCCTACATACTTCTTCATATGCCCATATGGAGCCGGCCGGTGCTATGGAATGTTAAGAAGTATGTATTTTTGGGCTGGGACCCCCACGCCAAGAGCCCCCATCACCAGCAGAGTCCAGAGGGAGCCTCCGGAGAGACGATGCGCTGCTGGGGCTGGTAAAAAGGAACCAGATCAACTTGCAACTGGATTTGGTCCCCTTCAACCAGCTGCAGCGGCACATGAGCCACGGCTGCAGGAACGGGACAAGCGGGGGATGCAGAGTCACTGCAAATGAGGTGGGCAGGGGCATGGGGGTGTGGGAGGTGGCAGCCCCCCAGTGCTGGCCCAGCTGCACCAACCTTCAACCACTGCTCTTGAAATGAACAGGGTCTATGCCTTTATTAATAGTCAGCTCTTTATTAAAAAGTCAGCTCGTGCAGTCCTTATCTGAAGTCCCAGCAGACCCCCCCTCTCTCCTTTCCTCCTGGCACACTGCAGGGTGAGGGGATGTGCAGAGCCTGCTGCCCAGGTCCAGCAACATCCCTCCCTCTCCTTCCCTCCTGGGAACACCAGAAGTGTGTCTACTTTGTTCCTGCTGCCCACAGCCCAGTCCAGTCCTCTGGAGGTTATGGTGACAGGTCAGACACAGACCAGGGATGTGGTTCCCTTTTCCCCAACGAGCACACCCATCCAGCCCCCTCCACTGTGCCCCTCTTTTCCATTTAGGGTGGTTTTCATCCCCAAAACCCCCTCCCATGATTCCACTGGATTATTTTGCATCCCAGTCCTAGAATGGTAGTGAGGTGATTCCCAGGAGCAATTAGCTAATTAACATTTCAATGTCAGTACTTAGCCCAAGCCAAGTGTCCCAGCCAGGCTGTTTTGTTCATAACACTCTGGACAGGGACATGTGGGGTTTGGGGGTGCTGTGGGGTGCAGGGTGGCAGGGGAAGGAGTTGGTGCATCCTGACCCAGAGCAGCAGCAGCAGCACAAATGGGGGATGCAGAGAGGGGCTCAGCTGGCTTTGGGGGCTGCGGAGGAGGCAGGCAGGGCGCTTCAGCTCTGCCCTCCACACTGCTGTGGGTGCTCCTTAGAGCCCTGGAGTTCCATCAGCCCCAAACCTGCTGGGGAAAGCACACATTGGAGTGCCTGGCACAGGCCTGAGGAGCGCCCAGCCCGGCATGTCCTTCCCCTCAGCTCCTGCCCGAGGTGTTGGGGGGAAAGGGCTCCCTGAGGGGACACCCCCAGGCTGCCACCCTGAGGATGGGAGAGCCCCAGCCCTGTGCAAGAAGAGGAAGCAAAGTCAGGAGGTAACCAGAAAGTAAAACTGAATGAACAATTTCAGGAATTTCTGGAAATCAGCTGACCATCCCGGATGTTCAGGCCTCCACCTTTTCCTGTCAGAGCACAATAGATCACCAGAGGCCGGTGGCGTGAGGTGACACTATCTCAGGTCGGTGTTTGGGGACATCTCCCTTTCCCTGAGGGGGGAACAGTAACGGGGCTGCTCATCTCACTGCGCCGGTGAAGCAGCCACCAAAACCCGGCCGGGCAGGAGCCGGGGCTGGGGGGCTCTGCTTGTGAGGGAGGGTCCCGGGGGCTCCTGGGCGGGAGAGGGGCGGCTGGGGGCGACTGTGCAGGGCAACAAAGCAACGCTGAACCCATCTGCCAACTACGAAAGAAAATCTTGTTCTTGCTTCCCAAGGGACCAGGATTGGAGCAGACTGATCGCAGCTCTCGCTCCTGCCCAGCCCACCATGGGTAAGTTGGGTGGTCGAGGGGTTGGGAACACGGGAGCTGCAGTGGGACAATGTGGGGGGCACAGGGAGCCTGGGGTTCGCCCCTTCTCCCCTCTCCTCCCGGGCACTGCAGGGCTGAAGGAGGCAGTGCTGGGAGAGCTGCTGCTGCCAGAGGGACCCTGCCCTGCCCTGCCCTGCCCTGCCCTGCCTGGCACAGCGACCTGGTCTCCAGCCTGGAGGAGCTTCAGTGCCCACACTCCTGAACATTTGTTATTTTCTTCCTTCCAGTTCCTGTGACATGCTTCGCACTCTTCGTCATAGGCATTGCAATTGTAGGTGAGCATCCAGCGCTGGGTGAAGCACTCGGCTTTGCTGGTTGTGTGCCAAGAAGAAAGGGGCAGCTCTGGCCACTGCCTGGAATTCTGCCTGCCCCACTGCTGCAGCCCTGCACACTGTTCCTCTGCTGTCACCCAGGGGTGTCCCCATCCTGCACCCCCAGCCCTCGCTCCCCGCTCTGCTCCCTGGGTGATTTTGGGGAGGGCGGTTCTGGTGCTGGTGGGAGGGGGAGATGTGGGTCCCAGGGAGCACCCTAACGCTGCTCTGTCCCCCCTGCAGCCATAGCAATGACTCAGACCAGGAATTACTCTGTGAATGCCGATATGGTGTTTGTTGCGCGTGCAGATGGTGATCGTGGTGAGTGGGGAGGGCAGCGGGGCTGGGTGGGAACACGGGGTTGTACCCTGGGCTTGCTCTGAAGCCAAAGCAGCCCTTGAACCCATCACTGGTCTGAATGTGCCCAAACTGTGGGAAAGGGATCAAAACCAATGTGGGGCAAGAGGCAGGACCTGCTGGGGTAGGAGTCAGGGCTGAGGGCATCAGGGGCTGTGCCGGGAGGTGACTGCTCCGTGGCAACAACTCCTGTGTGCACTGGCAGCACTGGTCAGAGGTGGAAATGGAGAGCTGAAAGGGGTTGGGTGTGCTCAGGGAGCAGAGCTCGCTGCAGGCCAACTCTGGCACAGAATGAGGAGACCCTTAGTGGATATTTTTGCCTGTCCCTGCCTCGTGCTTGTCTATTAGCAGGCAGCCTTGATGCTTCTGTGCCATAATAATCCTGTCTTTATAGAGGGGAGAAATACGCCCTGCACCCAAGCTGCAGCCGTTGCCTTGAGGATCAGAGGAAATGCTGGTTACAATGGCCAGGGAAGAGAAGTGGATGTCCTTCCTTCCAAGTAGCCTGCTTCATGTCTTCCACAGCATGAACTGGGAAGCCGCATTGACCAGCAGCTGCCACTTTAACAGATTTGCATGGCCTTAAGCAATAAATGCTTCAGAAAGCTTGAATAAAAGTGCATTGATGATGTGGGTGTGTCTGGTGGTCTTTGGTGTGCATCGTGGCTCAGGTACCTCAGCCGGCAGGGCCCCAGGGCTGCAGTGGGTGCAGCTCTGCAGCCTCGGGCTCAGGACACCCACTCTGATTTGGGCTGGGACAGGGGAGCTGCTCCTGCCAGGCACGCTGTGGCCCAGTGCTCCTGCCGGGCTGGGGACTTGTCTCGGCTCCTGGGAGCCGTGTCTGGGCTCCTCAGGGCCGGATCCCTGGGGACCGGCCATGGGGGAGCTCCTGGGTGCTGCCAGAGCATCCTGGGGGGAGCGTGGCTGTGGTGGCAGCCACAGTGACAGCCCACGGCAATGGTTGGTGTCTTGGGGGTGGCACTGAACAGTGACTTTGCTGCCTGTGGGTGCTGTGAGCAGGGCCAGCGATGTGAAGCTGGACTGAGGAGCAACATGAAGAGGTAAACAGAAAGTAAAACTGAGCGAACCCTTTCAAAAATTTCTGGAAATCAGCTGACCATCCCGGATGTTCAGGCCTCCACCTTTTCCTGTCAGAGCACAATAGATCACCAGAGGCCGGTGGCGTGAGGTGACACTATCTCAGGTCGGTGTTTGGGGACATCTCCCTTTCCCTGAGGGGGGAACAGTACCGGGGGCTGCTCATCTCACTGCGCCGGTGAAGCAGCCACCAAAACCCGGCCGGGCAGGAGCCGGGGCTGGGGGGCTCTTCTTGTGAGGGAGGGTCCCGGGGGCTCCTGGGCGGGAGAGGGGCGGCTGGGGGCGACCGTGCAGGGCAACAAAGCCCCGCTGAACCCACCTGCAAACTACGAAAGAAAATCTTGTTCTTGCTTCCCAAGGGACCAGGATTGGAGCAGACTGATCGCAGCTCTCGCTCCTGCCCAGCCCGCCATGGGTAAGTTGGGTGGTCGAGGGGTCTGGGACACGGGACCTGCAGTGGGACAATGTGGGGGGCACAGGGAGCCTGGGGTTGGCCCCTTCTCCTCTCTCCTCCCGGGCGCTGCAGGGCTGAAGGAGGCAGTGCTGGGAGAGCTGCTGCTGCCAGAGGGACCCTGCCCTGCCCTGCCCTGCCCTGCCTGGCACAGCGACCTGGTCTCCAGCCTGGAGGAGCTGCAGTGCCCACACTCCTGAACATTTGTTATTTTCTTCCTTCCAGTTCCTGTGACATGCTTCGCACTCTTCGTCATAGGCATTGCAATTGTAGGTGAGCATCCAGCGCTGGGTGAAGCACTCGGCTTTGCTGGTTGTGTGCCAAGAAGAAAGGGGCAGCTCTGGCCACTGCCTGGAATTCTGCCTGCCCCACTGCTGCAGCCCTGCACACTGTTCCTCTGCTGTCACCCAGGGGTGTCCCCATCCTGCACCCCCAGCCCTCGCTCCCTGCTCTGCTCCCTGGGTGATTTTGGGGAGGGCGGTTCTGGTGCTGGTGGGAGGGGGAGATGTGGGTCACAGGGAGCACCCTAACGCTGCTCTGTGCTCCCTGCAGCCATAGCAATGACTCAGACCAGGAATTACTCTGTGAATGCCGATATGGTGTTTGTTGCGCGTGCAGATGGTGATCGTGGTGAGTGGGGAGGGCAGCGGGGCTGGGCTGGGCTGGGTGGGAACACGGGGTTGTACCCTGGGCTTGCTCTGAAGCCAAAGCTGCCCTTGAACCCATCACTGGTCTGAATGTGCCCAAACTGTGGGAAAGGGATCAAAACCAATGTGGGGCAAGAAGCAGGACCTGCTGGGGTAGGAGTCAGGGCTGAGGGCATCAGGGGCTGTGCAGGGAGGTGACTGCTCTGTGGCCACAACTCCTGTGTGCACTGGCAGCACTGGTCAGAGGTGGAAATGGAGAGCTGAAAGGGGTTGGGTGTGCTCAGGGAGCAGAGCTCGCTGCAGGCCAACTCTGGCACAGAATGAGGAGACCCTTAGTGGATATTTTTGCCTGTCCCTGCCTTGTGCTTGTCTATTAGCAGGCAGCCTTGATGCTTCTGGGCTATAATAATCCTGTCTTTATAGAGGGGAGAAATACGCCCTGCACCCAAGCTGCAGCCGTTGCCTTGAGGATCAGAGGAAATGCTGGTTACAATGGCCAGGGAAGAGAAGTGGATGTCCTTCCTTCCAAGTAGCCTGCTTCATGTCTTCCACAGCATGAACTGGGAAGCCGCATTGACCAGCAGCTGCCACTTTAACAGATTTGGATGGCCTTAAGCAATAAATGCTTCAGAAAGCTTGAATAAAAGTGCATTGATGATGTGGGTGTGTCTGGTGGTCTTTGGTGTGCATCGTGGCTCAGGTACCTCAGCCGGCAGGGCCCCAGGGCTGCAGTGGGTGCAGCTCTGCAGCCTCGGGCTCAGGACACCCACTCTGATTTGGGCTGGGACAGGGGAGCTGCTCCTGCCAGGCACGCTGTGGCCCAGTGCTCCTGCTGAGCTGGGGACTTGTCTTGGCTCCTGGGAGCCGTGTCTGGGCTCCTCAGGGCCGGATCCCTGGGGACCGGCCACGGGGGAGCTCCTGGGGTGCTGCCAGAGCGTCCTGGGGGGAGCGTGGCTGTGGTGGCAGCCACAGTGACAGCCCACGGCAATGGTTGGTGCCTTGGGGGTGGCACTGAACAGTGACTTTGCTGCCTGTGGGTGCTGTGAGCAGGGCCAGCGATGTGAGGCTGGACTGAGGAGCAACATGAAGAGGTAAACAGAAAGTAAAACTGAGCGAACCCTTTCAAAAATTTCTGGAAATCAGCTGACCATCCCGGATGTTCAGGCCTCCACCTTTTCCTGTCAGAGCACAATAGATCACCAGAGGTCGGTGGCGTGAGGTGACACTATCTCAGGTCGGTGTTTGGGGACATCTCCCTTTCCCTGAGGGGGGAACAGTAACGGGGGCTGCTCATCTCACTGCGCCGGTGAAGCAGCCACCAAAACCCGGCCGGGCAGGAGCCGGGGCTGGGGGGCTCTGCTTGTGAGGGAGGGTCCTGGGGGCTCCGGGGTGGGAGAGGGGCGGCTGGGGGCGACCGTGCAGGGCAACAAAGCCCCGCTGACCCCACCTGCAAACTACGAAAGAAAATCTTGTTCTTGCTTCCCAAGGGACCAGGATTGGAGCAGACTGATCGCAGCTCTCGCTCCTGCCCAGCCCGCCATGGGTAAATTGGGTGGTCGAGGGGTCTGGGACACGGGACCTGCAGTGGGACAATGTGGGGGGCACAGGGGTTGGCCCCTTCTCCCCTCTCCTCCTGGGTGTTTCCCGGGTTGAAGGAGGCAGTGCTGGGAAAGCTGCTGCTGCCAGAGGGACCCTGCCCTGCCCTGCCCTGCCCTGCCTGGCACAGCGACCTGGTCTCCAGCCTGGAGGAGCTTCAGTGCCCACACTCCTGAACATTTGTTATTTTCTTCCTTCCAGTTCCTGTGACATGCTTCGCACTCTTCGTCATAGGCATTGCAATTGTAGGTGAGCATCCAGCGCTGGGTGAAGCACTCGGCTTTGCTGGTTGTGCTGCCGAGAAGAAAGGGGCAGCTCTGGCCACTGCCTGGAATTCTGCCTGCCCCACTGCTGCAGCCCTGCACACTGTTCCTCTGCTGTCACCCAGGGGTGTCCCCATCCTGCACCCCCAGCCCTCGCTCCCTGCTCTGCTCCCTGGGTGATTTTGGGGAGGGCGGTTCTGGTGCTGGTGGGAGGGGGAGATGTGGGTCAGGGCTGAGGGCATCAGGGGCTGTGCAGGGAGGTGACTGCTCTGTGGCAACAACTCCTGTGTGCACTGGCAGCACTGGTCAGAGGTGGAAATGGAGAGCTGAAAGGGGTTGGGTGTGCTCAGGGAGCAGAGCTCGCTGCGGGCCAACTCTGGCACAGAATGAGGAGACCCTTACTGGAGAGACATTTTTGCCTGTCCCTGCCTCATGATTGTCCATCAGCAGGCAGCCTTGATCTTCTGGGCCATGACAGTCTGGTCTTTATAGGGGGGAAAGAAATGCCCGGGCCTCCGAGCAGCAGCTGATGCCTTGCTGACCAGAATTAGAACTCCTGATTACCATGGCAATTGAACAGAAGTGGATTTCCTTCCTTCCAAGAAGCCTGATTGGCGTCTTCCAACTACTGGAACAAGAAAACCCTACAGAACTGCAGCTGCCCCTTCAAATGTGTTGGATGGCCTTGAGCAATAAATCCTTTAGAAATCTTTAATAAAAGTGCATTGATGATGTGGGTGTGTGGTGGTGCTTGGTGTGCATCGTGGCACAGGCTCCCTGCAGGGACAGCCCCAAGGTCCAATGTCCTGGAGATGGGGGAGCCCCAGCCCTGCTCCAGCAGGAACAGCAACACTGAGAGTTACTGAGAATGAAACTGAAACTCAGTGACTAAGCAATTTCTCAGAAATTACCTGTCGTGACATTTCCTGTTGGGATCTTTCCTGCTGCGCTTTGACCCTCAGAGCACAGTACACACAGGACAGGTCGGTGCTGTCGGGTGCTGTGGTCCCACAGTGGGTGTTTGGGTACAGCATCTTTTCTCTGGGGGGCAATAACGGGGGGCTGCTCACCTCACTGTATCAGTGGAGCAACCACCATGCCCTGGGCTGGGCAGGAGGCTGGGCAGTGTCTGCGGGTTCTGTGCTTGTGTGGGTAACTGGGGGCTCCTGGGTGGGATGGGCATGGCTGAGCACGGTTGTACAGGACACCAAAGCCCTGCCAGCCCCACTCACTGCTCATGGAAATACATCTTGTTCTTGTTTCTCGAAGGCCCAGGCTCACAGAGGACCCAGTGCAGCTCGTGCTCCTGCCCAGCCCGCCATGGGTAAGTTGGGTGGCTCGAGGGGTGGCACTGGGAAGCGCACTGGCCACCCTCTGGAGGGGATGTGCTGCAGGTGCCCTGAAAGCAGAAGTGCATTGCAGGTGGGGCTGTGGTGGTGCTGGGTGTGCAGTCGGGGCCTGGGTACCTGCGAAGTGCCCTGGGATTTGCTGTGCTCCAGGAAGGGATTCCTGTGGGCAGTGTTGCCAGCCCTGCTCCTTGTGCCCCTGCTCAGGGAGGGGCTGGCAAGTCAGCGGATGAGTTTGTTATGAGCTCTGTTTGATTCATCTCGTGCTGGTGGCAGGTGAGGGACTGGGGTAACATGTGCCGTGTGTCCTGTGCTGTTCTGGGTGGTTGGGTGTGGTGGGCAGGGCAGGCCAGGGTGGGTGGGCACTCCAGGGTTTGCCCCTTCTCCCTTTTTCCCCCAACCTGGGGGTCAGTGGGACCCACAACACCAGTGGCCTCTTCCCAGGGGTCTTCAGGGGCCAGAGGCAGATGAAAGCAGGGGGAGGCTGGAGGAGCTGCTGCTCGTTCTGGGATCCTGCTCTGCCTGGCACAGAGCACTCAGCACTGCTCAGGGGAACTTTGCTGTCCATGCTCATGTCCTTGCTGCCCTCCTGCCATTTTCTTTCTCAGTGAAGAAGAGGAATATCATTGGAGCTGTCATTGGAGGCACAGTGGGAGCAGGTGAGGGTCTGACACTGGATGAACAGCTCGGGTTCACTGCTCGGTACCACCCTCACCTGCTCCTGGGGACTGGGCTGGGGGTTGCAAGTACCAGGGCTGGGGAGAATTGGGGGGCAGGAGGGAGGAGGGGCAGCACTGGCTGCTGTCTGGAATTCTGCCTGCCCCACTGCTGCAGCCCTGCACACTGTTCCTCTGCTGTCACCCAGGGGTGTCCCCATCCTGCACCCCCAGCCCTCGCTCCCTGCTCTGCTCCCTGGGTGATTTTGGGGAGGGTGGTTCTGGTGCTGGTGGGAGGGGGAGCTGTGGGTCACAGGGAGCACCCTAACGCTGCTCTGTGCTCCCTGCAGGAGCGGTACTGGTTGGCCTCCCGGTGTGCATCGGCGCGCTGGGGTTCACAGGGGCCGGCAGCGCCGTGGCCGTGCTGCAGTCCATCGGTGGGTGGGGAGGGCAGGGGAATGGGCTTCATCTCCAGGGCAGGGAACGTGGGCTGCTCTAGAGGCAGAGCAGCCCTTTAACTCCTCCCTGGGCTCTCTGGGCTCTCCCTACCCAGGAGGAGTTCTTGGCTGGCTGTGTCCAGTGCTCAGTCCCTCAGCAGAGAGCCTCGACGCTCCTGGGAGGTGACAGCTTGATTTGTCTTTGCAGGAGCTGCAGGTCTCTCTCTTGGTGCCAAAGTTGGGCTGACTTCTGCCCTGGGCTCAGCTGGTGCAGCAAGTGGTGCCTGGCTGTCCAAGCAGAAGAAACCTCCAAGTGACAAACCCAAAAAAGGATAAAAATCCAAGTGATAAACCAAAACAAACCCTCAAAAACCTGGGTGGTAAATATGGATGATAAATATGAGGAGGAGACAACTCCAGACAAGAGAAGCCAAGCAGGTGCCTGATCCCAAGGCGTTGCCATGCACAGTGTCAGATTGTGGGAAACGCCCACAGGGATCTTTCCTCCCCTTTTAAAAGCTTTGGATTCTTGTGAGCAGCGATTTCCCTGAAGCCAATAAATGTGCTTTGCTTGCAGCAGAGATGGTGTTTCTGTGTGGCTGCAGCTCTCGGGTGACGGTGACATTAGAGGTGACAGAGCACAGGGGACGTTCAGTCCCCAGGACTGATGGTGCCCCCAGTTCCCCTGCACCAGTTTGGGGCAGGTGAGTAGTCACAGCCCATGCCAGAGGAACAAAACCCAGTGTGAGTGGGAACACCAGGTGGGAATCATCAAGTGTTGCTGTGCAGGTGATCAGCTGCAATTTTAACAGTGGCTTAGAAACTAGTGAGCCTTTCCCATATGAAATCTGTGAGATTCTGCTTTTAAATTGTGTACTGGTTTGTAAACTGCTTTTAGATTCCAACATCATAGAGGAAAGGAGGAGGGATGCACTCTTTTATTAAGGTTAAAGGTTTTTAATCACTTTTCCAGAGTACAGATATGATTGAAACAAAAACTCTTTTGAGGGTCTCAGTAATTCACTTATGAATACCATACATTGAACTCTATAAATTCTTGTATTAGAAAATGTCTGTTTAATAGAGGTTGTGATGCACTGGTGACCTAGTTACAATTTCTGAAGTAACACTTTGCAGTTTTATAGCACCTTTTACCACGGGGCTGCAAATTCTGCCTCATAATGCCCAAACGAGGTAGGAAAGTCTGGCCAATTTACAGAGGGTACAGCCAAGGTACAGACTGGAAGGGACAAGACATGAGGTGTCATCGCTCCTCAGCAGTGACGGGGAGCGTGCGCTGGGGCCGGTGATGGGTTGGTGGCTTAGCTGGGGACAAAGTTCAAGTGCCATCACCCTCACCCTTCTCTCCAAAGCTGCAGCCTGGCTCCCAGCAGCTCAAAAAGACCTTTGCAAATTGTTCTGGCTGTTTGTGCCATAAATATGCAAAAGAGAGAATAAAAAGTCCAGCACTCAGAGGCCCAATCCCCTCTGTTGACATATCCAAAGGCTGACTAAGAATCAACACAACAAAGCTGTGGTGGGTGGCTTGTGCTGCCCACATCCACTTGGATCTTCCATGATTAAAATTATGTTATTGGGATTCATTTTAAGATTTGGGGTGTAAAGCTCTATCTAACTTCACTGTTTCATTGTCATAAATTCCCTTCTCCCACCTGGCAGGTGAAAGTCAGGTATCCCAGGTCTTGTTTTTTAATAAAAGCTGAATGCCTACTGAAAATGTGATGTCCAATGGACATTTCAGTTCTGTGGCTAGAGGAATCCAAGCTGGCCAAGTTCTTTTGAGCCTTTATAACTTTAAAAACCATTCTGCATCTGTGTGACACTCCTTAGGGCACAGCCAGCACTGGTGCTAGTGGCTGAGGTCCAAAGACCGCTTCTGTGAGATATCTGGAATATAAAACCTGCTGCTGGAAGAAGTTGGTGCCAGTGGTTACACTGAGTGATTTTTTTTTTTTCCTTAATTTAAAAAAATCCACCTAAAAAAGGGCTGGGGTCAACTTCCTAACAAACACAGTAATATTGTGCAAAACCATTTGACCCCCACATCGTTTCCAAGCCAATTATTTCCTACTGGGGAAGATGCAAAAGCAGAGTCAGACCTACTGCCCAGCTCTGTGGTGCTGGACCAAAGGGATTTCCCTGTAAGGCAAAGGAAGGGATCCAGTGGGGACTCCACTGTCACATCACCCATTGCAGCTGTGAAGCTCTGGCAACATGAGACAAGACCTGCAGCTCTCAGAGGCACAACACCCATTTCAGTGCTCCCAAAACTCTTTCTAGCCTTTCTCCTCAGCAATGGTCAGTGATTTTTACATACTTTTGGTGATCATACACAGGTAAAGAAAAAAAAAAACAACCAACAGTTAATGCTTGGGAGCTGAAGGGCTCAAAACTTATTTCTTACATATCGTGTTAGAAGTACTACAGGGGGAAGTACTGCCAGGGAGCAGCTTTTTAATGAGGGCAGCAAATCTTTGTTTTGTCTCTGGAATATTTAAAAAGGACAATAGGTCAAGGAAGAATGGGGAGGAACCTGTTGTGCTGAGGGGAGCAAAGTTCCAGCCGTGCCAGAGTTATGAGCACAGCAAGCATTGGGTGCACGAGTATTTGTTCTGGGTTCTTTGGTTGCTAAGGCAACAGTGAAATTGCTGCTCAGGGGACTGGGGAGTTACTGAGATTGTCACCAAAAACCCAGTGACTTTATTGCACGTTCCTCTGAGCCACCTCTGTGAGCCCTGCCACTGAAGCAGCAGCACAGCTGGGGACACCTGACTTTGCTGCTGTTTTAATTCTCTGAGGAGTTGGAAAATATTCCAGAGAAATCCTGGGATTTTTTTTTAGCAATAGTTGGCAGAGTAATTCCCAAGGTAATTTAACTTCCTTTTGCACCTAGTTCTGTGGCTTTCAGTGTGCCCTCAGTTCCCTTCTTGAGTGAACTGAGGCCAGGATGGAGCAGCAGGTCTGCACCGAGCACCTCCTGCACTGGAACCCTGCTAGCAGGAAGTTTTCCTTTTTTCTTTCTCACACCCATCTTTATTGCTTCTCTGCCCACACTGAAACTACAGTTTAAGAAAAGACTGGATGTGGCACTCAGTGCCATGGTCTGGTTGACAAACTGGTGTTAGGTCTCAGAGTGGACTTGATGATCTCAAAGGTCTTTTCCAGCCCAGTTAAATCTAGGATTCAACAGGACACAGCATGATTTTTCTTTTGTTTAAAATAATATTTCAATAAATTGTGTGCTCAGCAGTCAGAAATGTTGATTACAAACAAGTTTGTGTTCAGGACTTTGAACCTGTGTGTATAATTTGTATATACTTCAATCCTTCAAGGTAATCCTTCTTGTGTTATCAGTGTGGACTTGAGTTGAGCTGACAAAAATCCCTCAAGAGCCAAAAACATTCCAGGCACACCCTGGGAAAAGCAGACCATTGCCAAAGGGCCTCCAAGCAGGAATGAATTAGAAACTAAAACTACTTACTGTGTTAATTATTACCATGGAACTGCAATGAAATGTTTGTGATGTCACAGCCACCGCACCAAAGGAGTTTACACAATGTTTAACAAATCTGCTCTCAGCCAGTGAAAGTTAAAGTGATTTCACTTGCCTTGCTGAGACAATCTGAAAAGCGAGTATCTTTCACTCTAAGTGCCTGCAAAAAATTGACCTCAATGAAAGTGTTCCCAGACAAGAAACACTGAGGATGTTCAGAGGAAGAAAAGTGTTTCTCATAAGGTACAAATAGCCTGTGCTATTCTGTGGGAATATTTCTATTTACTGCTATTAAGGAACACTCAAATTTGGGATTATTTTTCACACCATCCCCATCCTGCCCTCCCCACAGCCTGTCCTCACTGCTGCCTTGCTCACTCCAGGGGGGTCAGGGAAGGAGGGAAAACCCCCAGCAGCTGCCCAGGAGACACAGGAATTCCTGGAGCCTCCCCTGTGCTACGGCCACCGAGGCTCTGGGCACACACCTCAGACATTATTAATCCCCTACAAACTGACCTTTCCAGCATGATCTTGTCTTCCCTGAACCTTCCCAATCCAATCCACTCTGCCTGCAATTTCACTATTCCCTGTAACAATAGGGAGGGGCAGGTTGGTGTTCATGGAGCAAGAATTGAGCCTGCAGGAGCATCCCTGGGCTGAGGAGTGGCCAAAGCAGCTCCCCTGGGAATGCCAGGCCATGGAGAAAGCACAACATTTGCTCAGAAATGACAGACACAGATGGGCTTTGCTCAGACAGAATCAGGGGCAGGTTTTACTTTTCACATAATTTTCTGTATTAAAAAATACATCAGTGAAATCTGTTACAGGCAGGGACAGGACTACCAAGTACACAACGTCAATAGACTACTTTCTGATTTTATTTTTGTTAAATTACTTTTGTAACTGCTAAAAAAATAATAATAAAAAAAAACAACCAACCAAACAAAACAAAAACCCTGAAATATTATTCAAGGCTGTTGATTTTCATCTCTTGAAATTTTAGTGACAAACTCAAATATCAGACCCTTGTTACAGAAGATGGATAACTGACCAGAGCTAGATAAAAACAATACAATTCTCCTCTTCAAAAATAGCTTGGGTTTCCAATGAATTTGTGACCACTGGTCATCAGAAACACACACCTAGAGCTTGAGAAAACAGAGATACAGACTGTATCTGATAATGTCCTGTCCTCTAAACACCACATGGGAACTTTTCTCTTCCAAAAGACTCAGTAACAGCCAAGCCTTAAAAAAAAAAATCTCTTTCAATTTCCAACACTATGACTAAATCTCTTTGGGTGGGGCGGGATAAAAACACACATGGTCATTTTCTACCACAGTTCTGTTGTCAGAAGTAATACTGCATCCTTTGTACAACACTGCCCATGTTGCAAAGGTGGAAAGAGAAAGAGTGTGTGTGTATTCCTGCTTGAAATGATAAAGCCCTCTCTAGATTTACTTTACAAAATAACCAAAACCATAGGAGTAGGGAAAGAGGAGAAAGGAAAGCTGCCACAGTATTTGCTGGGTTATATGGACAGATTGCAGAGCTACTGGGCTGAGAAAGGAATTCTGCACAGAGCCCAGGACATCCCCTCCTGGACATTCCCCAAAGGTCACTCGGAAGTTTGACCTACAGCACCTCTTCCAACACAGCCAGAGCTGGAGCGAGCCCGCAGTGGGAGCTGGAGTCCGGCCTCGTGTGACCAGTGAACAGCAGCCAGAGTTGTCCATTGGGATGGCCAGTGCCTCCTGCCTTCCTAACATTTGATCCCAGTTTCCAAAAAAAAAAAAAAAAAAAAAGATAAAAGTGTACGTGTAGGTGTATTTATAACGGAAGGTGTCTGTTTGTCTAAACCTCACCCCTTTCTCTTGTATCCTCTGGAAGAGCTCAAGGATCTCCACGTGTTCCTTGGCAGCAAGGGCTGCCAACCAGCAGGCTGGGAAGTCACCTGAGCCACAATCTAGCTCTGCATGCCCACCAGTGTGAGGGTAGATTTTACACAACCATTTTCCTGAAAAATATCTCACAACTTTTAAAAATCCTAAACAGATAAAGG